TAATATATATATTAATAAATTGTATTTATAAATACATATTAAATTTAGATTAATAGCTTTAAAAACTAATTATTGTTGTGTATTGTAATTGTAATATGCCAAAACAAATAAATAGTTTGTAGAAAGCTGATAAGCATTCATATCAGACAGATTATGACAAGACTAGGTATACATATAGTATATAATAAGAAATAATGGCGGACGTTTTTACTATTAAAGCCCTAAAAGAGGTAAGTTTAAAATTCAGAATATATAATTTTGTATTAAAATGTTTACTTATGTATTTTAATGTGTTGCAGTAGTCTTAAAACTAAGTGTATTTACTGTTAATATAATAGTTTGACAAATATTTGACATTTACAAAATTACTCACTTACTATTCTGATGTTTTGACAACTGTGGGGTTCTGACGACATAAATCTTGAATGACGTGCTAGCTTTTTTATATGAAAAATGCTATATCTATATATACAAAGACTTAATGAATAACCAATTAATGAGTCTGAGCTAAAATATATAATTTAATTAATATAATAGTAGTCACACATGGAAGCTAAATCTGGACTCTCTTAAACACTGATGAAAATAAATTATAAATCTTTAAGCGTATAATATTTAAAATATTTTTTGACTCAACGAATTTTATGGGCATACGTTAAGAATTAGAATAAAACCTGGCCTTGACTTCTTAATGTAGGTCGCAGATATCGTCAGATTTGAGAAGTTAAAATGGTTAAATTGGATCATTTAGAAACAATACCAGGTATAATCGTGTTGTAAAACTAAAACAAAATGAAAACAAACTAGAGAAAGTTGTATACATTGTATATCATAAAATGGAGAAGAAAAGGAACTGACAAGACAGAATGAACAAGTATTGTAAAGCATGACAAAAACACTAAGAGTTGTAGCGCCATGAGAAGAAGAATAAAGTTTTACTTAATATTGTTATTAAAAATAATAGAATAGATAATAGTAATATAGTTCAGGCTATACTTATCATGATCTACTGTGCCTATTATGTATCATATATAAAAATTGCCATGATATTATAGATAATATGCATGACACTATGACTAATAAGATAGGATCTTCCCGTAGCACAAAATCGGTCGTATTCGCCATGCCGTCATTGGAGAGTAGAATTTGAATTCTTTTTTTTTATTATTTTTTTTTATTTACAATTAAGGCGCATCAACCTAAGTGGTTATTAGCGCCGCTTGGTATTACAATTTTGTTTTACATTTTTTTAGACATAGATTACATATAGACATTGACATAACATAGATAGAGTTTTACATACATAAATCTGAGTTGAAGTACATTGGTTAATAGAAGATTACACATTTATTTGTACAGACACTGATGTTAAGTTTTGTTGTATATTCCAATTGACTTTAGAAAACTTAAAATGTTGAAACACTTACCGAACATTGGATGAACACTTCCAGTAATAAGGTATTCGTGTGTTAAGCGTGTATGTCCTAATCTCAATCTGTTTATTATAATTTGGTCTTTTCTGTTGCTACACATATTCTTCCATCTTGTAACAGTTGTTTTTATGTCTCGTAGTTTTTGTTGAGATTGATTCCATTCTTGAAGCCACTGTTCTTTCAATGTCGAGTTAATCCAGTGATGAAAATTTTTCTTATAGGTAGATTCTATCAAGTCTTCGTTGTTAACTGAAGATTTGGCGGCAGCATCTACTCTTTCATTACCTTGTATACCTATATGTGATGGAATCCACGTAAATTTTACAATCGCATTCTTTAGCTGAAGTTGGTACAAATGGTTCTTTATCAATCGCAACAATGGATGAGTTGGGTAAATGGTGCCTAAGCTACTCATGGAACTTAAGGAATCTGTTATTATTAGGCACCTGTCTAAGTTGGCGTCCAGTGCATATTCTAATGCTTTGTAGATTGCGAATAGTTCTCCTGTATATACTGTGCTAAAATTTGAGATTTTGTATGAAGTAGTGTAGTCGTTGTGTATGAAGGCACATCCCACTCCTTTTTCTGATTTGGAGGCATCAGTATAAATATATTGGTATTTCTGGTACTCATCAATCTTACTATAAAATTGTTTAACCATAGAGGAAGCATTAAGTTGATTACTAGTCTTTGTTAAACTCAAGTCTAGGAAAGGTTTTCTGGCCATCCAAGGAGAAGGAGTTGAAAGGGTGGTTTGATATATTTTAGGGAAGACAATATTATTGCTGGTCATGTATCTATTGAGTCTTTCATAAAAAGGGGGTTTAGATCTTTTTTTGTTAAGATAGGTTGTGTGGAAACGAAAAGCAAAGACATTGTTTCTGACGGGATTTTCACTATTTGCTGAAATGTTTGCAGCATATGCTAGGCTAAGATATTGTCTTCTTAATTCCAGAGGCATTTTTCCCACTAAACATAATAAGCTGTCTGTAGGTGTGGTACAAAAAGCTCCTAAGGCTATTCTTACAGCACCATTTTGGATGATTTGCAACTCTTTCAAAAGTGATTGGCTGGTAGACCCATACACTATTGAACCGTAATCGACTTTAGATCTAATAAGGCTTTTATATACTGTCAAGAAGATATCTTGATCACATCCCCAATTTTTAGTAGATAGGACTTTTATTATGTTCAAATATTGTTGACAAGACGTTTTAAGATAATAATTATGTTGCTTAAAATTTAAATGTTTGTCAAAATTAATTCCAAGGAATTTGATACAATCAACATATTCTATTTTTGTATTAAAGATTGTAAGTTCTGGACTACTAACATTACTTTTTCTGGTGAAATGGATACATTTACTTTTGTTGAAACAAAATTTCATTCCAGATTTCATTGACCATTTTTCTAATGCAGAAATAGTATCTTGTAAGGTTTGTTTAATTAGTTCTATGTTTCTTCCTTTACAATTAATTATGAGATCATCTGCGTATAGCCTACTTTTTACTGGTGGAGAATCGTTTTCCAAAATACTGTTAATAGCAATAAGAAAAAGAGTAACACTAATCGATGATCCTTGAGGGGTTCCATTTTCCTGTATTCTTGTTTTAGAAATGAAATCATCTACTTTTACTTGGAAACTTCGGTCTTTTAAAAAGTTATTGATGAAGTTTAGCATATTTCCTTGTATACCTAATTTCTGTAAAGTTTTAATTATTCCATGGCGCCAAACTGTATCAAATGCTCTGGTTATATCAAAAAATACCGCTATGCAGCTTTGATTATTTGCTAGCGCTTCATGTATTTCAGACTCGAGATCAACTAAGTTGTCTAGAGTTGATCTATCTTTGCGAAATCCACTTTGTTTGTTAGATAAAACAGATCTTTGCTCGAGTATCCAAATAAGACGTTGGTTAATTAATTTTTCGAGCACTTTGCTCATTGCACATCCTAATGATACTGTACGGTAGGAGTTTGGATCTGAACGTGGTTTACCAGGTTTAAGGATAGGTATTGTATAAACATTATTCCAAGTATATGGAAACACTCCTTCAAGCCTTATTTTGTTATATATCTTTAGTAAATAGGCAAATCCATTTTTAGGCAAATTTTTAAGGAAAATAATAGGAATATCATCTGGACCAGGACTAGAGTTTTTAATAGAATTTATAGATTCAGTTAACTCTTCCTCTAGTATTGGTGCATTTATTGGTAGGTTATCGCTTTTATCATAATTAAATTCTTGTAATTCTTCTTTGGTTTTAAATTGTAAAAACTCTTGAGAAAAATTTTCGTTACTTGAATATGACTCGTAGGATGAAGCTAATACATTGGCTATTCCAGATCTAGATGTATGAATTTTGTTATTATATTCTAAAAATCTTATTGATGAGTTTGTGTGGCGCCCTGAAATTTTGTTAATTTGTTTCCACACTATTGCTGCTGGGGTAGAACTGTTTATTGTTGATAAAAATTTTTCCAAGATTCCTTTTTTGCTTCTTTTACCACTTTTCTACTAATAGCCCTTAACTTCTTAAATTCTAGGAGATTTTCTTGTGTTTTTTGTTTTTTGTATTTATTGAATGCTCTGTGAGTGTTCTTTATAGCATCCTGACAGTGATTATTCCACCATGGTACTCCAATACGATTTCTTACTATTTTCTTTTTTCCAATGATATGATCTGCTGCGGAAAGTATGACGGAGGAAAATTTATTTATTAAGTCGTTTATATTGTCATGCAGAGATGGATCTGAAAAAGAATTAAATTGCTTCTCCACAAATTGTGTAAACGGTGACCAATGCTCTATTTCTGTATTCCATCTAGTGTATGGTTGAATTTTTTGTTCGTTTTCGAAATGTATCACTATGGGAAAATGATCGCTTCCATACAATTGTGTACTAGCTTCCCAAGTTATGTTTTGTACTAAAGAAGGGTCTACAAGAGATAAGTCAATACAACTAGTGCTTCCAGTAAAAGAATTAAATCTTGTTGGAGATCCATCGTTAAGTAAGGTAATATTGTTATTAATGACCGTTTCTATTATGTGTCCTATTTTGTTATATCTATTAGATCCCCAAAGTGGGTTGTGTCCATTTAGGTCTCCTATTATATTCTTAGGCGACGAAATTGGTTCTATAATATGAGTTATCTCTTTTATACTTATATCAGTATTCGGTGGAAAATAAATGTTGCAGATGTTAATAATTTTTGGAGTTTTTATGGTTACTAATTTGAATTCTTGTTAAAGTTAAATGGGATTTGTATGCATTCTGTGATGAAATTACTAGACGAAAATAAGTTAAGAGGTTTAATAATTACAAAAATCACAAAAATTACATTCACGTAATTACACATAAGGATACCTCCACACTATTTATTAAAGGTTATTTAGTGATACATACAAAAAACTGACATTTCGAACGTGCAACTCTCCAATGACGTCACGACTTATGCGCAATATCTTATCTTCTTGGTCATAGTATCATGGATAATAGGATTAAACCTACTTAAAAACAATCAATTATGTACTTTAAGATATTAAAAAGATAAGTATTGAAATAAAATTATTCTTACTGATTTTTTGTTATTAATCAAACATACATTTTTTTTAATGACATTCCTTAAGGTAACTGTTTCCTTTGTTCTATTATTTGGTAAGTTTATTTTCAATTAAAATTAATAAGAATTAAAAGACTTGCAGAGAATTGAATTGTAGTGAATAGTGGTATATTCTAATATTTATACCAATATACCTTCACTAGAAGTCTTTACTTCTCTGAAAGTTATTTTAAACTATGGTACATAGCAAACCACTGGATTTCTTTATGATTTTAAGTTTCTCCTATTTCGTTTTTCTCTGCTTTTCTGTATTACATTGCTACAAAAGAATCCACGGAATTTCACACATCTCGATCAAAAGTGTATTAACTCAAAAAAAAATTATTTTTAATATAATCTTCATCCACATCCTTTATAATCTTTTTATACAGAAAACAGTGATATTTCTACCTAACAATGTTTCGATAAATGGACCGAATCCATAAGTCACAATTAAAAATCAAAGCTCGTCATGCGGTACAAACAGTATCATTCCAACTTATGACAAAAAGGTGCGCTAGTTTCCTGTGAAAAACGTATTAATTAAAAAAACTACTATTGAACCAATGTGTTTTTAACGTTTCTTTCGGAAAAAAATATTGTAAATCGAATTGTTACATTTAAGTTTAAAAAATAATGTAAGTGCTAATAGAAACTATGTTCCTACACAGTATTATTTTAAGTTCAAATAGTGTTGTTCGGAAGATTGTAGGGTATTCAAATTCCTATACAGTATTATTTTCACTTAATATTCTTTTCTCAAAAACGTGTACCATCTAATTTATATTAATTTATTGAATGGTAGCTGTTCTAAAATTATTGTAGTTTCACATTTAATTAATAAATATTCTAACGTTCGCCTCTGGTTGATTGTCAAAAAGTTGACGTTGACATAAAAACAACTAGAGAATTGAAAAACGTCAACTTTTTGACAAGTTACCAGAGGCGGAGGTTTTAATATTTATTAAATAAATGCGAAACTACAATTTTAGTATTTATTTAATTTATTCATCAAAATGAGCTTAAACTCTAATTAAATTAGTATGGTTGAATAGGTATTTTCAAAGTATCACTTGCCTTAAGGTCTTATTTAAAATTATCTGTCACAGTGGCGCTGTAACGTCATCTGTCACTATTACGTCACTTGTGACTAGTTAAGAAACCTACGTCTGTTTATTACCTCACTTCAAATTTCACTATTATAAGTATAACCGTTCAAAAGATACGAGGGAGGGAATGGACTTTTGACTAACACTGTATATATATGAAACAAAAGCCATATATTGGCATTGGTAAACAAGTTAGTCAAGCTTTTCACGTCTCAATTAGAATCAATTTAACAATATCACAGTTATTTCAGGATCTCTTTTTCATCAGTCACTTAAGCTGATTCCACTTGAAACCAAAAAATTCAACTAATGTCTGTAATATCTTTCCACTTTAAGTAGTTCCAGCACAGAGGTGCCCCTACTTTAGGTGGTGACTAACTAAATAATTAAATAAATTGTTTTCTGTCTTCTGGCCTGTCTAAATGTGCAAAAATTAGAAGCTTTAGCAAAGCCATATATTTTGGCATTGGAGCACAAATTAGCAAACTTTTCATGTCTGAACGACTAGTAGTTGGTCTGGAATCCTCAGAGTCTTCTAACATTATTGCCACATCATATAATATATATAATATATATATATATATATATATATATATATATATATATATATATATATATATATGTATATATATATATGTATATAAATATATATATATATATATATATATATATATATATATATTTATATATATATAAATATATATATATATATATATATATATATAAATATATATATATATATATATATATATATATATATATAAATATATATATATATATATATATAAATATATATATATATATATATATATATTATATATATATATATATATATACAAGAAATACTGGATATTAGTGACTGTCGATATAAACAAACAACACAGTTTATTAGGGTTGCAGTCAGAATATTGGCCGGGATGTTAAAAAAAACACTCTTTTGACTTTTTGTCGAGCTTTCGGAATGGTTTTATTCCTTTTTCAAGACACTGTAAAAGACAATTATATAAAAATGATTTTACCGATTTTACTTTTAGTGACTTAGTGGGTATGTCCTATGTTTTAAAATTATTTTAATTGTGACGTCTAATTGTTAACACCAAATCTTTACATGCTTGTCAATATATATTCTTGAAAAAGGCATGGATTTCCTGCCGAAACGTCGGAAAAAATATATATAAAAATGTCTTAGTATCAAACTAAATTTTTTTTATGAACCTAAGCCCAAGAGAATCCACTAAAAAATATATATTAAGGTTCAAGAACTAAACTCAAACTATATATATATATATATATATATTATATATATATATATATATATATATATATATATATATGTATAAATATTTATTTCTTTTACAGTTCATGGGAACTCAATTGCTCATAAAAATCTTCAGATACACGAAGGAGGAATTAAAGCCGAAATTGGTCAATATCCTTTTGCAACTTCCATTGAATTGGTGATAACTGATCTAGTGACGGATACTTATATTCACATCTGCAATGGGATCATCATTCATGAAAGATGGGCATTAACTGCGGCTTCTTGTGCGGGACTTTCATCGGTAGTTGTTGGTGGTAACGTTGATTTAGACCAAAACGAGCCTACAAAGCAAATTGTGGGAATTGAAGAATTCGTTATACATCCTGATTTTGATATTTTTAAAAAGTAAGTATAGATATATAGTCGATAGAGTAAAGTTATTAAATAGATAAAACAACTAAAATTTCAGGATATACTGTGAAGAATATTAGTAGCAGTGAATAAATTAAAATGGACAAGAGCTTAAAATAAAGAACTAAGTAGATAGTTATATACTAAAGTTTTCTTACAAAAGTCATGAATAAACTAATTGAAATATACGGAACAATAGAGATATATATCTGGTAATTTATGTATCAGGCCACAGACTTATTTAACAAGGAAGAGCAATTTAGATATATAGAAAGAATAGACAGGGCATATAGTTTATTTAAAAAATACGTATGGTCTTCTTCTAATTCATATTTTTAACTTGCCTCTTTTTTTATTTTCCAGTAATAGTGAATATTCTTATAAAATTGTTTAATTTTACCTTACTTATTCGCAGAGTACAGATGACTAACTGATGGCCTCACAATTATTTCCCTGTAGCCTAATATGTATTATTAAGGATTGTTATAATTTAAGTGGATAGTCACATTATATTTTTCCTTGTTACAAATTTCCGTTCATATTTAAGGTTGTTTACCGGTTCTTCAAGCAGTTCTTAGGATATTATTCCTTCTTCTTCTCCTTCTCCTTCTTCTTTAGCAGTTTATTCTGGTTCACTCCGGTACACAGACTACCCCTTGTATTTTTCATGTTTGCCTGTCTTGAGATTTATTGAGCTTGAGCAATATTCTCTAAGGCAAGTATAAATAACTTTGGTTGGTTTCTAAGTTTTGAGTTATTTTTACTTTAAATGTTGCTTTTCTCGTCCTGTAAATATTTTTTAAAAACTTTTTATATCGGGAGTATATTCTGGCGTTATCCACTGCGTGAAAAATTGCCCATTGTTCTATTCTATAGAACCAAATGTTACACCAAGTTTTTGACAATCTATGATCTTATCAACTAGAGAATTTTAAGCAATTAAAGCAAGAAATTCAAATAGTGATTTATCAAAAATTCATTACTATTTGGGTTTTGGACAGAATACAATTTTGTATTAATAACAAGTTTAAGGACTTGACATTATAAGCGTAAATGTTATGACACAATTCCAAAGTTAATTCTAAACAATTCATGGTTATTATTTGAACACAACACAAAACAAAATATCAATTTTTATTAATAAAGAAAACTTTAATAGAAAATATGAAAATTAAAGTAAGGTACAAATAAAGATAACTCACAAACTAAGTTAACATCATGTTCATGTATGTTGCTAAGCTTTAGGTTAACATAGAAATCTTGGAATTGCTTTGGAGCTCATTTCAATAGTTTCTGAAAATGCTTGTATTTTTTTGGGACAATATTGGATTAGCATCGTTCCTTATAGGCGAGCGAACAGAAAATTCAAAAAAATAAAAAAAGTAAAACCATCAGTTTAAAGGCAACATAATTTCATATAACATGTCCAAATTTCGAGACATTTCATCGGTAAATAAAAGAGAAAAAATTTTGGCGCACCGATAAAACAGCCTTAACCAACTTCACCAATTCCACCATCTACACAATTACGCTAGTTGAATACAAAGCAAATTTTTTCGGAAATATGTATGAGATACTACAGTATTGTGATAGGTTTATGAAATCATGGACGTATTTTGTATTCATTAGGTACATGAAAATTTGAAAAATAATTTAGGTATTTAATATTTTAATATTATTAAAATAAGAAGAGTATTAACGATTGGTCAAAACATACTTTTAAGATTAGGTGTATAACATAAGGAATTTACATTGGGAAACATTTTAGGATATAAATATTTTAAATAGGTGTATTCAAATGAGACGGAAATTAACAGTTGGTGAGCTCGTATAGATTATTTGCGTAGTAGTAAAATAAATTTATATTAGCAACATTTGAAAAATTTAAAGATATTTGTATTTTAATTCTTTGTCGATTTTTCATTCATTGTCAGTTGATTATAGGTAAAAATTAAAGGGTATTACAAAAAAATATTGAGGTATTTATTTTGTTTATGGAAATGTTTAAAAGAATCGCCCAAGGAGAGATCTGGTTTCTCGGGACAATCCACACACTCATAAATTGGGTTTTTTCTTATTTTTAGGACAGGACATACTCTGCATCTTATCGTTTTGGTTTCGCTTTTGTCCGATTTATTAGCAACTATTTATAGGTAAATGTTCGCGTGCGATATTCCGTCTTTCTTTGCTTTTTCATAAATTAATTTACGAATTAATTCTAACCTTAAGGGAGAGCGCCCACCAAAGTGGCGTGGCAGTGGCAAGTAGCAAGTAGCACGCGTCTAGCATAATGTAACCAATCCTAACAAATGATTAGAATGAACGTTACTGTCATTTTAGTGTAAACTGAATCATTCGTTTTCATTGGTTACATTATGCTAGACGCGTGCTACTTGCTACTTGCCACTGCCACGCCACTTTGGTGGGCGCTCTCACTTATAACGTCTTGTATGTCTCTTTTGTTTAGTATAGAGGAAAGTAGCCTAATTTCGGATAGTGTCTTAATTTCGGATAGCGGTGTATCTAAAAAAGTTTCTTTATTTGCGAACAGAAACCTATACGTATGTCACGCTGAATACCACAGAGAACATTATCTTAAATTGTTTAGGTAGTAGAGCTGCTCCCCGTTAGATGGCAGTGCCGAAACCACCAAACGTTATTGTGCAGTTTTTTTTCGGTCGTATTTCAAAGCCTATTTTTTCGTGTTTTTATTCCTGTTTGAAGTTTGATCTTTTGGCAGGGGTAAGCTAGAAACCTGTTTTATTTGATTTTGCTACTAATTTAAAGCAGATTTAAATCACATATAAATTAGAGAGCCCTAACCTTAAAAATAAAAAATTCCTAATTTCGGATAGTACAAGTCCCATAATTTCGGATATCTGAAATTAGGAACCTTAAATTGATGATCATGTTAGCATAAAAACTTTTGTTTCTTTTCAGAAGAAAATGCCAAAAACAAGTAAAAAACATAAACAATGGGATCCAGACCGAATGATACGTGCTATCCGTGCCGTCAGGGGAAAGGAAATGGGGTATCTTAAAGCCTCGAAATTATTTGCTGTTCCGAAATCAACTCTGGAAGATTATGTTAAGCAAGAAAATAAAACTCCGGAGCAGTTGGTTGCTGTTAAAATTGGAAGAAGACCAGTACTTTCTGCAGAAATGGAAGCAGATTTAGTCTCGTATTGCCTAGAAATGAACCGGCGATTTTACGGAATTGGGACCGCTGATATCAAGAGACTTGCATATCAAATAGCTTTACGAAATGGTCTTCGTCATCCATTTGCCCATGCCGAATCTGCCGGTAAAAAATGGTTAAGGGGATTTATGAGGCGAAACGCAGTTTTGTCCCTTAGAAAACCACAAGGAATCTCGAAAACCCGAATTAAGGGATTTACCCCAGAAAATGTCAGCAGATTCTATGATCTTTTAGAAACGTCAATGGAAAAAGTTAACTTCAACCCCGCAAGAGTTTATAACGTTGATGAAAGCGGCATAACAACGGTTCAGTCCAAGAATACTCGTGTTATAACATTAAAAGGAAAAAAACAGGTTGGATCTGTTACCGCGACTGAAAGAGGCGCATTAGTTACTGTTGTATTTTGTATGAATGCTGCTGGTGGGTTTGTCCCTCAATTATTCGTGTTTCCAAGAAAGAACATGAAAGTGGAATTATTAGATGGATCGCCGCCTGGCTCTATTGCAGCTTGCCATCCATCAGGTTGGATTCAGCAGCACATTTTTTCCCAATGGCTACAGCATTTCGTAGCTCACGTGAAACCATCCCGTGAAGACCCAGTGCTGCTTATTCTTGATGGTCACTACAGCCACACAAGAAATATAGATGTGATAGAAGCAGGACGTGCAAATTTCGTTACAATTTTGTGTATCCCGCCGCACAGTTCACACAAACTACAACTTCTAGATTTGTCTTTTATGTCACGATTTAAAACATATTATTCGCAACAAATTGAGATGTGGTTAAGGCAAAATCCTGGACGCACCATAAACTCGTATCAAATTTGTAAGCTTATGTGCCCGGCATATTTGAAAAGTGCTACTGCAGAAATTTTCGCGAATGGTTTTCGCAAATCTGGAATATATCCTTTTAATAAAAATAACTTTTCTGATCACGATTTTATAATGGAGAGACAAAGAGAACGAACACCACCACCCATAAATCAAAATCATGGGGAAGTATTACCAACAAGAGGTCAGTCAAGACCAGAACCACAAAGCATTATCGAAAGAACACCTCCAAAACATAACTTAACAAATAAATCATCCAATGGAAATGCAACTGAAACTACGGCAACTATGATAAGAGCTGAGGATATTAGTCCACTGCCTTCTTGCAGTTATACCTCACAAACAAACAAACAAAAAAATCCTCGAAAAGGTTCTAGTTGGATAATAACTAGTATACCTTATAAAGATGAACTTGAACGAAGTGTAGCCGAACAAGAAAGAAAAAAGTCTTTGAAAGAAAAGAAACCAAAAATAAGCAACGAATTAAATCAAGTCAACAGAAAAAAAACTCCACGCCAAAAAAAGCAAAAGAAAAAAATTGAATCGAGTAGTAGTGACACTTCACATCCTGGTGATGTCCTTATTTTGGATGATGATTCTGATATGGATGTAGACGATGAAGATGGAGACACAGAATGTATGTTTTGTGACAGTTTATATTCCGAAGATACACACGGTGAGAAGTGGATAAGGTGTATAAAGTGCTTCAAGTGGTGTCATGAGATGTGCGCCAATGCTGATAAGAAGAAAACCTATATTTGCGACTTTTGTCAAGATGTGTAACTATTCTTATGATGAACAAAATGGTGTCTTAATTTCGGATAGGGTATCCGAAATAATAAGCCCTAAAATTTTTGACATACAAAAGCACTAATTTTATTGAACAATATTTTTTGTAAAAAAGATTTTCAATAAATTGAATAGAATAGAATAGAATAGAATTTATTTAATCAAATATACAAAAA